ATTTACATTTTTAGTTGCAACATGACAAAATGTAGAATAAAAAAGGGGTATGAATACTTTTACAAGGCACTGTAAAAAGAGTCATGCAAAACTTGATACATCTCTATTAGAGGGGCTCCACATACTGAAAATATGGATATAATAATACAAAACTTTCATTTATCTGACCTATGACAAGTTACACTAGTTGATGAAGTGAATAATAAACACAAAATATGCACATACCCATATCTAACTCTCAATAGGTTTGCTTTTACAACTGCTTGGAGATCTGTGATCTAGCCTCCCACAATCCCAGCAAAAACCCTGACAGGCCCACATATTGGTGGACATGTTTTCTTTGTATTTCTGTTAGAATGTAGGCCTCTAATGCCACATGATGTGCTCTGCCTTTTGTTCATTACAGAGATAAAATTTTCTGCTAACAATAAATTACATGTCAAAATTAATGCAAAATTGTGGGTGTGTAGATCACGAACCAGCATGCTTCTGTAAAGCAGCATTAGTCATCCCAACACTCCTGAGATATCATCTTTATTATGAGTTGATGAAGAAGTGAAATAGAAAGGGATGCTCACCATTTCTCCTCCTTTATGTATTTGTCTGGGAAAAAAAAATCAATAACACCATACATTGTAATTAAATTACATATTTATTGAATCACAAATGTTTAGTTTAATAATAAAAATATTACAAACATGGCCCTTTAATCAGTTTGGCTTATTAGTAAGTAAATGTTAGAAAGTCACTATGTTTAGCCTGAAACATTTCAAACTTTGTTATCAAAAGTATAATGCAATAATAAATCCTGTATTTGTATCAAAAGATATAAAAACAAGGGTTCCACAATATGATTTTGTTGTAGAATAAATTTTGTGCTTGTAACACCATACAAATCTGTGCACAGTAGCAGAATAGTTACAATTGCTAATCAGATTTTATTAATGTCATACAGTGTGTTATAACTACATTTCAGAGAATTTCATGTACTCCTGCACTATAGAACTTGGTGGGCGAAATTGTGCTAATATATGCTAATATATAAACTGAATCCAAAAAAAGAACAGCAAGCTGCTTTAGAGCAGCTGTTGTTAAAATCCAAATGGAATTAAAGAACTACTCTAGTTTAAGTGAAAAGGATAACTTTTCAAAATGAGCAGCATCTGAAATTATTAAATACAATTCATTACACGGCTACTGTAGGCCAATCTTTTCCTTGACATAATAAAGAGCAGCTAATATGTATCCAAGACCTTGAAAAATGTTATGCCTGCGTCAACCACTATGTGCAATATCCAATATCCTGAGTGACAGCAAAGCTCACAAAAACTGCTTAATAGAACCAACATTTCCCCCGATAGCACCTGTTTGGTATGACATGAGGAACAGGGATACACACAGATCAGTTTTTCTGAAATAACATTCGGCCAATGTCATGTTTTCATTTTACATGAAAAAAGGTGCAAATTTGAGTTGTTCTTTAATACAAAATAAAAACACAAACTTTATTTAAAAGAAAAAAAAAAAAAAAATCAGATCACACATTGTATGTGGTGTACATGAGCTTTAAAAATGGCATCTATACTTTGCCTACCTGTAGCTGAAGCCCACAAAATCCAAACTAGAACCCAAGTAGCCAATGCTGTTTATTCGTTGTGAATGGCAGTCAAAATGCATCTCCACAAGAGAACTGCATTGCAGCGCACAGCATTACACTAATGCACTACCACGTATTGCAAAGAAATGTGCAGGTATTTCTTTTTGTCCATTCTGGTGCATGGGAAGCCCAATCAAACAAATGGTAAGTGACATAAAAATGCAACACACCAGAGCAGATAGATGTGAATGGGTCTTTATTGCTGTCTGAACCATAGTAGCACTTCTCACACAGTGTTCACTGCAGATTGAATATTTTGCCCAGTGCAGATGAATCATAATAGGAACATGTCCTATTCAGAGGATTTATATTCAGCTCTGCACAGGGATATACTGTACACACTATGGGAAAATCAACCCTGCAAAGGCTGCTATGTCTTCCATTTGGGTTGTGCTACAGTTATAGAAAGCATAGGCCTGAGGGCCTATTGACACTATGTATTGGGCAGCCTTGCCCAATGCATAGAAAAGGCAATTTGCTTAAAGTTGTATAAGTTCAATTCATACCACTGCACCACAGTGGTGTGCACTAAAAAATATAGACTATGCTCTGCTTTTTTCAGCACAGTGGGTTGCGGCACAATGCATAAATATTAATGAAATGTCATTTTGTGACAGTTCAATAAAGTTTAAAAAAAAAAAAAGGGAACAGTGTAATGCAACATTACAATGCATTGGCACTACTTTATTCACAGCATATGCCCACAGCTGAGGTTTAATGCACCCATTGGTGTGAATGAAGCTTGAAAGCTATTCAATGAGCTAATTTCTGATTTATTACTGTTGGTCACTGCATGCCACTACTCCTTGTATTATGTTATTAAATTGGGGAAATTAAGTCAAAGGCCGGGACCAATGTGCATACAACCACTTTCCAACACCACAACACATTGCCGGTGGATATGATCATCATTTACACCTTCCATGTGTGCTGAAATCTGGCTGTTGGCATGAAAACCTGAGTGCAGTGAACAAGCTGGAGAAGTCAATACACACCAAACTTCTATGGTCTCCAGCAGACCTCATCAATACCACAGACAGACTGCATCAAGGTCTGCAATGTTTCCAGCATCATCTTAATAGGGTTGTTGGGAACTGCTTGGATTAACCATTAGAACTCAAACACGCACCTGTATTTCAACAGTATAAAATATAGATTTTCAAGTTTAGATATAGAATGTAAAAGGCTTGACAGTGGTTTATATACAGTGCTAGATACGAGCATTTACATATCTAGACAGGCCTTAATTTTTCTGTAAACGTACAACTCCAGCATAATGCAGGTATAGAAAGCTATGTAAAATTTGGGGTCATACAAATCCTTTAATGTGAGGGGAAAAAAAAAAAAGAAGAAAGATAAATGGCTGTTCTGAGGTGCTTGTCAAGTTACAGGTTCTGCCTGTTTGAAATGTTCCTACTTTTGTGCGTGTGTATAAAACCTCCAGGAAAAGTTGGTGACTGTTACCCATCATAACAAGCGCTAATTTGTCTACTACATGTAAACGAAAGCATCCAGTTACTGTAAAGGGCAATGAGGGGAATTTACCAACATTGCAGAAGCCATAAAGAGTAGCTGTGAGTGGCAACCAATCAGATTTAATATTTCATTTTCGAAGCCAAACTGAAGATAGAAAATGATTGGTTGCCATGTGTGCTCCAGACTGCCTACTCCAGTTTCGATAAATTCACCTCAATGCATCCAAGGCTTATATAGCGCAAGGGTGTCAATGTCGTGTTGTCAACACCAGCATTTCTTGGAGTGGGACTGTTAAGACCGGGTGCCAATACCAACAGAGCAAGACTAGTATAATATAGTACATTTGACAATAAATTGTTAGCCTACTACCTAGTGTTAATATACAGTAACCCCTAAGGGTTTATATTCAGGCCTAGTTACAGGGATAAGGTGGTTAGGATTAATGGTTAAGGGAGTGGAAAAATACACATTTTTGTGGCTAGGTTCATTTTTTAAGGGTTCATATTTATGTTATTATTGGGATTGTTGTGTTAAGGGTTTAGAGTGTGCCAAATTAGGGGTTAACGGTTAGTGTTATGGAGGTTTGGTGTGTATATATATATATATATATATATATGTATATATATATATGTATGTTATGGGGCAATGATGGTCGTTCTTGATATATGACATTTGGGAAGACATTGGTGCCTGTACAGTAATTCACATGTGTTTCTGGTGCCAAAATGTAAAAGTACCATGCACTCCATGTCTCAGATATCTTAAGAATACACTGTTTTAAATTAACAGGATTCAGAATATTTAACAGCAAATCAAATAATAACAACAAAACCACTGTGTCTGTGTTAGTAAAGAATACAACATGGCACAAGCATATCTGTACAGGCATTTATAGTGCATCGCTGACCTAAATGAGAACTCCACTTCAGTGTTTTATAGTGGAAGGTGTGAATAGGGGTAAGATAAAGCTCACCTCTACAAACTCATCAGGAGCTGTACTTATTTGTTGTCATATTCCTTCAGCATGTCTGCCTTGTCAGACATTCCCCACATAAATCTGTGGATTTGGCACATTGTATCTGCTGAAGGACAACATGCAATAACGCCGGTTGTAAAGGTATACTCAAATCCTACATTTCAGTTGTAACAGATGCCAGTGGGCTGAGTCACCTGCCATCTGTTTACGCATTTCTGGTGTACTGGTAGCAAGAATTGTGACCTTGATTTTACAGGGCTGCACATAAGAGCAATCCCATCAAGTAACCAGTAGCACGAGGTGTTTTGGACTCAAGTTCAGAGAATGAGATTCCATGACAGAGCCAGGAGAGGCTTCCCATTGGTGACTTTTCCCTTCTAAAACTGAAATAAACTTTTTTGTTCACTGACCCAACCCCCCCCCCCCCCCCAAAAAAAATACAAAAAAACAAACAGTAAACCTTTTAAATTGGAGCAAGCATGTCAGCCATTAAAAAGATGACGGTGAGGCTTATCTGATAACACTTGTAAGGAGTTCCCCTTTAGGGCAACCTACAGTGGAAGGGCTGGATGACAACGCTGTTGCCTACTTTTGTTATAGTGCAAAGATCAAAAAGACCTTTTTTAATCTGAAGTAAGGCACAATGTAATAGAAATAGCTCTTCCAACATCAGAAGTGTAAAGAGCATTGTACCATGTTAGCCAGTCACAAATATATTACAAATTCTTTCATAAACCTTCCCCCATTCCGGATTTACAAAAAAAAAAAAAAAAAAGTCTAGAAAATATATTCAGATTACAAATTCAACAGGGGGAATACAGCAGAGGATTTCTAAACCTATCTGAAATAGCAGATTAAAAAAAATAAGTTTATTGAAGCATAAAGGTGATATCACTGCTCTTCTTGTGCTTCTCCTGTAATATTTTCTTCATTAACAGCATTGTCTGTTTGCTCCATTATCTAAAACAATAAAAAGAAAAATAAGAGGTTATTGCAAGAATATGTAACCAGATCAATGATTATTAATAAAAAGCCATAATTGTAGTTCACATTAAACAATGATGAAAACGTAAAACAGAATATTAGAGTTTGAATAGGCCTTTAATTTACAAAGACGCTCACTGAAACCACATTATTTAGTGGCTGAATTAGTACTCAAAGTGAATGTCCAAATTAATTTTATCCTCTTGGCACCGTCCGAATGCAAATGTGCTGCCTCTTGGCATCTGGGCCTAGATGCCGAGCGGCCGCACATTTGCGTTCTATTTAAAAAAAAAGACATATGTGCTGAGAGCCCGTGCCCTGCACACTCCCAGCACATATGTCCGGTACTCACGGAAAGGTCCCGATCTCCTTTTCGATCGGGACCTTTCCCGATCATGTGACCGCCGTAACCCCACCCTGCCTCCCAGCTTCTGAAACCCTTAAAGCAATGGAAGGCACCGGTGCCAAGGGGTTAAGCAGCAATTTGAATAACAATCCTTTAAATATTTTAATTAGGCTTACGTAGGGATGTGCCACACAAGTGACCGGTTTATGGTCACAACTCACCAGTGACATGATTGCTTTGTGACCCCTTACCTTCTCTTATCAAATTACTCCTTCACTGTAAAAAGGCATTGCTCTGCTACTGCTCTCTTACTAGGAAGTGAAATTCAGGAGTTTCAGCCAGACAGGGAGCAATACCCATTATGGAAGGTGTCAGCTGAACCTCAGAAATTCTCCAGATGAAAGCTTGCCAGAATCACCAATCTCGCATAACCTTACATGTACTTAGGAAAGATATGTACTTTAAAGTGTTGAGGGTCAGAGGTCATGAGAAATCCGACAGCTGCTGCCTGTCAACTGCCTGCACAAACTGCACAATCAGAAGCTGAGAGACAGTGGGGTCAGGTAGTAAATAGGCCAGCACCTATCAATCTTCAGGTGACCTCAAAACACTGACTGCCACAATACAGTGAGCTGTAAATGTGTAAAACCATATGTTCTTCAATGTGCTTTTGTGTGCTACTATTGCTAATGCTGAACATAAAAGTGCCTGAGATTCTTCATTTTTTTTTTTTTTCTGTACGGCACTTCAGCAAGCCCTGCTGTGAAATTTTAACAGTGGGGATGGACCCTAATGAGGGGTACACAGTGAGTTTTTCATTTTTTTTTCTTCATTCAAACCAGTGGGCTGAAAAAACAAAAAAAAAAAAAAAAAACCTGAGAGGTCACAGTACTAAGCCATGTTAGTGCAGCGATCTCCCCCACTGAGCTATTTTGGTCTGACAGGGCCACTGGCTGCAAGCACTGATCGAATGCTGGTTTTCCAACATACCCGTTTGATAAAACCTGGTCGTTAGACCGGCTTCTGTTGGAAAGGCTGCTGTACACATGGGCCATATGTCAGCCACTTTCTTTTGAACCGGTTGATATTCAGCCCATGTGTACCAGCCTTAATACTAATCAGATATCTGGATCATTTAAGAATTTTGGGGACAATTGTGAATATGTCCATAGACAGAAGCCCACTGTCCTGAACAGTTCCTGAACCTAAAGGAGATATGACCGTCTAATAACGAGAAAATGCAGCGTTGCTTCTAAGCTGCTATTACATCCTCATTGACCTAAATTTGGTAGAAACATGCAGAATGCTGCAGATCAACATTTACCAACAGCTATGTAGTGTTAGGACATAACTGAACAATCCATTAAAAAATAATATCTTAAAAAGGTAGACACTTTACGGTTGTTTGTAGGTTTTGTTGATCTGATAGGACAATCTTAAAAGAAAATCTGACTGCATGTGACCAGTCACAAAAGGTAGAGAACAGCTAGGGGGATTAAATTACCACTCAAATTTCTTCTCCCTTGTAAACTGTAAAATGGGAAAGCAACCTCATGCCAATATCTGATGAAATCTGGGAGGATATCCTACAAGCCATCCACTCCATATCTCCATCTTCCTTTCCTTTGTAGAACTGGGCTATGCTCTGACTCCTGCAGCAGCAAACATGGTTAACTCCAAAGGAATTTGATACTTATGGCAGCACCCCAAGCGTAAAAGATACTGGACAGAAGTTATTACAACCCTAAATCATGTAAAGGGGTACCCTACTGGGGGTCAACTGCATCCTGGTGAATTTTGAATCCTTCTCCCTGGAAGAATATAAATTCTCTAGCAGTGTCTAAAGCGCTGTATGCAGAATGGTACAAATTAAATGGGTCTCTTCATCTCCCCCCACTACAGAAGAGTGGCAAAAAGAACTAAAAAGGTGTATAAAAACACACTTGTTATATGTGAAACGCCATGCAAAAATTAGACCTAATTTGGTGCCACTGGCTGGATACCTCACTCTCTATTATGTCTTGATTTGTAAAAAAAAAAAAAAAAAAAAAAAAAGGAAGAAGTAGTTCCATGGTCCCAACCTCACAGGATCTTTTCTCATCTGTTCTGATTGATTGAATTACTTCATGGGCTGTATAGCCAAGTAACATTGCTGATCTGACTTTGACCTGTACTGGATTGTATCTTTTTTTCTTGTGTCTTGTTTGACATGTTGTGTTTTTGCCTCTACCAATTCTCTTTTAATACCAATTGATAAAATCTGATTTAAATAAATATACAAACTATTAAAGGTATATTTTCAGCTGGTATGTGTATGGGAGGACTGCTTGGAAAAAGAAAATTTCAAGAACATCTGAATGCCAGCTTATACCTTTCAGGCCCACCTAAGCGAAAAGAGAGCAGGCATAGAAAAAGACCTAGTTCATTACTGGTCTGTAAATATGAATCACAGATTTGTGAACAAATTCTACAATACTCATATCAGCTATGAATCAGATAAATTATTCCAGAAAGTGAAGAGGCAGAGGGTAGGAAGTGGCTTGTGGCATAGACTTTACACAGCTGTGACTAGAGGTTTTTAATACAAGTTTGATATTAGCGCAAATGCCACCATACCTCATAACTTCCTCCATTCCAGAACTTCTTCATTTCCTTTCTTCTCCAGGCAATAACAGAACTAGTCAGAAGGGTACATGGCACCAGATACAGGAGAGCTGGCTGGCCCATCTTCATCACCATTAAAATGATGAATGTCAAGACCATCCCCACAGCATAAGCTGTAAATTAAAAATAATCAGTAGGTAAATGAATATACTTATTATGAACCTAAAGTGGAATAATTAATTTTTAATTAAATAGGCCCCCATGAGCTGTTAGCCATAATGTGCCAGTATGAATCGCATAATAAAACATTGTGGCACGACTTACAGAACATTTAAAAAAAACAAAAACAAAAAAACACCACATTAAAAAAGGTCTACCTGTAAGGGGATACTTCCCTTTCCTGCTGCCCACAGTGAAAGAGAAATCTTCCCCTGAAGTCTGCTGAGAAACTAACACTTCAGGTATCGTGGGTCTCTTGTGACCCCAGTTGAGCTCAGGAGTTCCTACCAACAACTTCCACGTTACTAAACAACACAGTATTGCCTGGAATAAAAGCTGAACTACGGAGCAACTAGGTTGGGCTCCCAGTTTGTCTATCACAGCTCAACAGCTTGTTTAATCGCTTGTCCTCCAGAGGATTTACCCCCTTCCTGACCAGGCCAGTTTTTGCATTATGGCGCTGTGTTACTTTAGCTGACAATTACACGGTCATGCAACGCTGCACCCAAATTAAATTTACGTCCTTTTTTCCCCCCCAAAAAAAAAAGCTTTCTTTCGGTGGTATTTGATCGCCTGTGCATTTATTTTTTGCACTATAAAAAAGACCGACAATCTTGAGGAAAAGAAAAACAATATTTTTTACTTTTTGCTATTAACAGCTTGCCAACTGCACTATAGCCAAATGACAGCTACAGCGCGGTTGTCCAGTTCTGGGAGGGTGTCACATAATGTCCTTTCAGAAAACACCCTCCTGCGCGTCCCCGGGGGCTCGCACCTGGTGATCTCCAGTGATCATAGTGTCCTGCGGATACAGATGATCATGTGATGTGGTGAAAGACCAATCACAGCGGCCGTTTACCACGTGACCAATGACACACTGATCACCGGTAAATGCAGCTGCCGGTTATCGGCTGCACTTTCCTCACGCTGTCAAAGCATGAGGAAAGTACTGCCGATAACCGGCAATTGTCAGAGAACAGATCGGCACTGATAATAATCAGTGCACAGCAGTGCCTAGTATTGACACCCACCTGTGCCCATCAGTGCCGCCCAGCAATGCTGCCAGTCAGTGTCCATCATTGTTGAATATCAGTGCAGCATCATCAATGCTGCCCCATCAGTACGAACCTATCAGTGCCGACTCATCAGTGATGCCGCATCAACGCACATCAGTGAAGGAGAAAAATTACCTGTTTGCAAAATTGTATAATAGAAACAAAGAAAAACTTTATTTTTTCAAAATTTTTGCACTTTTTTTGTTTATAGTGCAAAAAATAAACCACCCAGCAGCGATTAAATACCACCAAAAGAAAGCTCTATTTGTGTGAAAGAAATAACAATTTCATATTGGTACAGTGTTGCATGACCGTGCAATTGTCATTCAAAGTGCGACAATGCTGAAAGCTGAAAACTGGCCTGGGCAGAAAGGGGGTACCCGGTACGCAAGTGGTTAAACAATGTCCAGTAAATTTTTTATTTTTGTTTTTTTTAAATCAAAATTTCATCATAAAATCTAGGCCAAAATGTTTTCTGCTACATGTCTTGGCTAAAAAAAAAAAAAAAAAAATCCCAATACGTGTATATTAATTGGTTTACGTGAAAGTTATAGCGTTTACAAATGGCGGTATATATACTGGAATATATACTGCAGCAGGCATCCTGACACTGGGGGAAACAGACTTGGTGACACCGACATTCCCAGTGACACCAATACAGTGATCAATGCTAATAATAAGCACTGACACTGTACTAATGGCACTGGGCAGAAAGGGGTTAACATGTGGGGCGAACAAAGGATTAACGGAGTGCCGTTTTACTATGTGTGTGCTTCACTGTAAGCATACTGCTTTGCATGGCTCTGCTATGCAAAGCCATGCATAGCAGTGTGCAGGAGCTGACGGGAGAGAAATGTATGGTTTACTTAGAGTTCTCTCCCTCCGTCGGTAATGCTCCTTGATCACCAGGTGCCGGCAAATAATTACGGCCAGGACCCGGTGATTGACAGCCGAGGCCGTGAATAGGGCTCGTGCACGCCCCCTACCCAGAAATGCAAAAAAATAACACACACACACACGCACACGCACACACACACACGTGATTTTGCGCACCCATGCTGCCCTGTAGCAGTATTTCTGCTATAGGGTGGACGGGAAGCAGTTAAAGTGAAAAAAGTCAACAATCCCGTTAGGAATTCCCAGATTTGAGGGATTCCACACAGCTACTCGAAGACTGCTAAGAGCTATTTATATATTTATTGTACACATCACTCTTCAGACAAAAGGTTTAAAAACTAAACTGAAGTCTATGTGAACTCGGCATCAGTCTGTTACCATTTCTGGTTATCATATTTAGACATTTTTAAATAAATCACATACCGATGGTGCAGGATATATAATAAATACTTGAAGTGGCTGATCTAACATCAAATCTTTTGCAATAAGCAACCAAAAGACCTAAAAAAGAAAAAAAAAAAAAAAAAAAAGACAGCAATCACACACTGAAATAAGCGTAGCTGTCCTGCATTACATTTTGCTTAGGAGTTACAAGCACCTATGTAGCTTAACTAAATTAAGCATGTATTCCGTAAGAGGTCCTGAAATCATCACCTACTGGAGTGATTTTATGACTGGAGTTTAGAAACACTGCTTTAAACCTTATGCAGTTAGCTGTCTAGTAAAAGAGAAGGGTAAGATTTGCTTTGAGTAAATAAATTAAAAAGTTCTTGTCGACGCTACAGATGGAAGAAGCCTCCATGTTAGGGGTCCAAATAATGGCCCAAAATAAGCTTGTTTTCTCATGTGGAACAATAACGAACAATCACCACATTGGAGCCAAAAAAAACACACACACTTCAGCCATGCATCCCACTTCAGATCAGAAAAAACCCCATTATAGAACAAAAGCAAAAAAGAAGGTGCACAGGTCAAGAGCATTACCATAAAACCTTTTACTAATAAAACAAATTCCAATGGATTCACAAACGTACAGGGTACAACGCATGTATCACAATCAAGTCCAATCCTCAACGCTGTAACATGTCCATTCTAAAGAGCTTGTCTTACGCGTTTCAAGGGCTGTGCTCTCTTTATCAGAGCTAACCAGACCCAACACACTGATCAATAGCAGGGAAGAGTTATGTGGGTACAACCCACACAACAAACATTAACGCCAACAATGACACGGACATCAACTCTTAAACAATACATATAACTAAAGAAAATTCTAGAATACAAAACCACAGACTGCAAAAACGATCTTGCACGTCTGTAAGCTATCAGTTATGCTCTATGGCATATGCAATGAGGGAAGACTGTCATTTAGATAGTATGGCTTAAAAAGTGAAAACAATCCCCATCACTGTTCAACTTCTATTTGTTAATGGACAGCAGTCCGGAATGTGCTGCCACCGTCAAAATGAATTACTCGAGTGTCCCACCGAGCACCATACACTGTTGCTCCGACATGCAGTGGCGCATGTACGTATATGTGTACCTCTAGGTACACATACGCCTGTTTGGGCCTGAATAGCTCTGATGAAGAGGGCACAGCCCTTGAAACATGCAAGACACGCTGTTTTGGATGGACATGTTACAGCATCAAGGATTGGACTGGATTGTGTTACATGCACTGTACCCTGTATTTTTGTGAGTACAATGAAATTGGTTAAAATAAAGGTCCTATGGTAATGCAATAGGCTGTGCTCTGCTTTTATTCCTTTAAAATAAACAGTTCATCTCCAAGTAAAGCAGTGCTTTGCCTATGCAAGGTTAAGCAACAAGTTCAGTTAATGGTGGGCCCCCGCTCCCCTGTCATTGCTGCAAAAGTACTTCATTATGTCCAATAAGTCTCCTCCTGTAATCTCCTGTACAGCAGCAGGAGGAAAGCCACCACTAAAAGCTAAAATGCTGCAGAGCAAATGCTAATAGGAGAGAACGGGGAAAAAAATAGACTCATCACTGGTTCTGCACGGTCTAGTCAGTAGGCAGAGCGTTTGCCAAGCTGTGTTGCACAGCAGTTTGAAGGCTTGGCTGTGCAACATAGCAGGGGTGTCTGGATCCCAAAGCTGGCAGTAAAAAAATCTGCATTTAGCAGGTAAAGCAGTTTTCAGAATATGTTTTTCTGCAGAGTATTTAGCTGTCTGTCTAGAGTTTAGTTTTAACAGTTTTCTTCACATTATTGTTGCCTAGAGAAGCAGTGTAATGAAAGTCTACACAAGAGACAGAACACCAATATTCAAAGCAAATGGTTATATGAGGAGGCTGCATCAAATACCAAAGAACATATACAAAACGTATTTCTCACTCACCAGGCACAATTATATCTCCAAAGCCCAACAAGGACATAGGTATCTCACACAAAGTCAGAGCACAGTACTGAAGCCTAGGTACCCTAATGACTACAGGTAACTGGAAGACAAGAAAAACAAACATGAAAAGGTACACTTGAGATTAACCAAAAAGATTTGTTTAAAGCAATCAAACTTGCAATGAGCAAAAATACCCTAGTATTTGGATGATCATAATAATCTTTTTCTGCAAACTGTTAAAAGGAAGGAAAAAAAAAATAATACACACGGTCTGAAGGTTCTCATTTATCTAGGTAACTATGTAGCTAATTGTTAGTCAGCCATTGTGTGGACAGCATCCATTTCACATCACTGAGATATTTGTAAGATCATCCAGAATACACTCACAGGTGCATCTGACGTTCTTCTGACCAGCATTTGACCCACTTCAAGCCGGCTTTGCATTTCCATAGTCTTGCGTAGGAATCAAAACTCTTCTGATGCCAACAAAAACTGTCAACACAGGATGTAAGTCACATTCAATTGAACTTGATTTGTAATGTTGGAAGATGTTCTGCAATGCATCTAAACAGCATCTTTGGCTAGAATGAGTGTCAGAAATATAGTCCAGTAATTTATTGCCACAGCACTATAAATATTCTCAGGTACATTAATCCAATCACTGCAGAAAATGCAAGGTAGACTTTATTGTCCAAGTACAAGAAGAAAGAAAATTTGGGGAAATACCCTGCTCTACATAATTCAATCCCATTGTGCCAGAAGTCTGCAACAGGTGTTAAAGCCTTGATTTACATTGTTGAAGGTGTTAAATGCTACTGCCAGTGCAGAGATGTTAAAACAGCATTCTATGTAGGTGACAAATGGTGTAGAGGACCCCCAACCCCATTTAAGAATACTGATGTCTACAGGAAACCTATCAACACTAAATAGTACTAGCTTTTTGACTTGCACCACCAAGTGAAACACAAACTAGGGGCGATTAGAACACTGCAACACCGGGCTGAGATGGTAACACAAAGTTTAAAAGATAAACACACCTCAAGAATGCTTTGCAAGTTTATGGCTACCCAGACTGAGCTGAAACATCTACAAGGTCTAGCAAAAACATGGCACCATTGCTCAGAAGGGAAAAGCAGAATACATGATGTAATATGGTTATACTGTATGGGTATGTGCTGTAAAAAAGCAAAACAATTTTAACAAACATTACATCTCTGTGTCTTTTGTACATCCAAAAGATCCCAAGTGGAACAACCATTCCTAAACAGGGGTGGGGGACTTTGATGCCATCTGTGGACCACTAGCGGTTTTTAACATCTCTACCTAGGCAATTGGACAATTCACACCTTCATCCATGTAAAATGAAAAATTAACACCGTGCTCCAGACATCCTGGCATCATAGGACTGGATTACCTAATTAGAACATGGTGTTTTCACAAACACTGACACCACCCATGCTGTCCTTGGACAATCAACATTTGCCTTGACACATTTGTTGGTGGTTGAATACCCTGTGTGGCTATAAATACTGGGCTAGGTTCCTGACATGCATTAAACTGGATAACCTGTGGAGCATCATCATTAGAGAATCAAGCCAGTCGACTGTGAATATCTACTACTAGCTAAACCATACTGTTTTATGTAATATAGATCTGATGTTGTACTTTTTATGCATTCATTTAATTTTCTGTATACTTATAATTTAGAAAACAGCCAGCTGACTACCTACTACTAACTGGTATAAAAGTTTATTTAAAATATGTCTACAGTCATGTGAAAAAGAAAAAACACCCCATAGAAATTGTTGACTTTTTAAACAGACAAGCATTAGATCTTCATTTAACAACAGTGTGTACAGATAAAGGTGACATACTTGAGCAAATGACATGAAATGGATATGCTGTATTCATTATCAATCTAAAATGAACAAAGAAAAGTTACAGGATTTTTAAGAACGAAAAAGTACACTGTACATTTACTACAGCTTCAATTCCATGAAATTGGAATTAGGTGGCAATATTTAGAACCTCTTAGAGGAGTATGCAGGTGAAACCTGTCTTATTTAACCTTTAAATGTCTAGAGCAGTGTTTCTCATTCTTTTTAACCCAGAGGAATCCCCTAAAATAATTTTTCAGGTCTCGGGGAACCTTTACTTAAGCCAACTTTTGGTGGTTAAACAGCAAAAATTCCCTTTGCGTTAGTGGTTAGTAGGAAGAATGCAATCCTTACAGTGGTGGCCAGAATACCACCCTTGCAGGCAGCTTATATGGTAACTGGTGGCTTTGCCAAGTGGTGCAGATCCTGGAACAGGCACCATCAAATGAGAGGTCAGTGAACCACAGCTCAAGGAACCCCTAGCAACCTCTGGAGGAACCCTAGGGTTCTATGGAACCCTGGTTGAGAATGGCTGGTCTAGGGTGTTGGCTATTGTGCCAAGATCAAATAAACTTTCTAAGTCCCTCAGCAAGAAGGTTGTAGATGCCTAGGAGTCTGACAAAGAGTTTAAAAAGATCAACAAATTACCTGAAGTCAACCATTCGACTGTAAGAAAAAAATTCTATTCTATAAGTGCACAGATTTCAAGTGACTGCTAATTTGTCCAGGACTATCCAGACCAGCAAATTTAGCCCAAGAGCTAACCAAATGATACTAAAAGAAGTCTCAAATAACCACAAAATGTCATCACGGGATCTGCAAGTAACTTTATTAACAGTTGGTGTCAACATTCATCGAAAGTGAAGAGGTTAGTAAAGTTACGAAAATTCTTGTACAACAGAATAAGAATGCTAAAATGATGTAATGTACTGTATTGTACTTTCAGACAAAAACTATACGATCTGGTATTGTATGAGGAAAATGCTGGTCCCTTCAAATAATTTCAGATGAAAGCTGTGTACTATCAATCAGATTATTGTACAATTTCTATAAAAAGCACAAACGTCCCTGCATGGGAGGTGTGCCAGAAAAAAGAATTTGTCATTAAAAAAAGCCTTTAGATTGTAAGCTCCACGAGCAGCGCCCTCATATTCCTTCTGTACTGAAATGCATTGTAATTGTACTGTCTCCCTTTATATTATAAAGCGCTGCACAAACTGTTGGCGCTATATAAATCCTGTATAATAAAAATCTGACATATAGGCAAAGACCAGGCCTTCTTAAACAATGCACTGTGAGCTGATGAGGATAAAGCTGTTTGGTCACAGAAACAGTAGACATGTTTGTATCGAATCAGTAATTGAAGAACCTCAAACTGTGAAGCATGATGGTGAAATTGTTATGGTTTGGAGTTAGGACCATGGGAGCTTGCAGCCATTAAGTCATCTCTAGATCTGAATTATGTCAAAGTGTGCTTGATGAGAATGAGGCCATCTGTCAGAAAGCTGAACTGAAAATGGATTTTCCAGTATAATGATCTGGATCACACTAGTAAACCCACCATTACACACTATAATTCAGGGAGGTCTGTTTAAAAACAATAGAGGATTATGGACTGGCCAAGTCTAAGGCCAGATTTAAATCCCATTGAAATGTTGGAGGAGAGGGCTAGGGATTTGAAAATCTGGCATTCTTGCAAGGAAACCTACAAATATCTTGCAACTGAAGGAATTTTGTAATGAGTGATGAAAAATGTTATGTAGTCAATGTCAGAGATTGGTGGGCAGACATGCCAAACATCTACAATAAGACAAGTTTTTTTTTTTTTTTTTTACTTAAAAGAGGGCATGGCAACGTCGGAGACCAAGAGAGTACTTTTTCCAAAGTACACTATTACAAATATTAATATTTTTTATGAAAAACTTTTTAATGAAATGGAAACATTTTCTTGTGTACCCCCCCCCCCCCCCCCCCCCCCCCCCCCCCCCCCCCCCCCAAGATCTCACCTTTATCTATAGGCACTATTGTTGAACTAGTCTTCAGGACAGCACATGAGAGAACGCAGCTCCTCTCGCAGGAAACACACACCGACTTAGACTTCAAATTGGAGGCTTCTTCCCACAGTCATCAGTTATCGAAGAGTACCTCCCGCCCATCTGAAAAACATAAAGCACAACAGCATAAACAATATCAAGGCGGTCAATTATTGCTGTCCTGAAAGACTACTAGAAAACAAGTTACTGATAAGTCTAACTTGGATTTTCTCAAAACGTCTTTCAGGACAGCACACGAGAGGATAAATGAGAACTTACCCCCTTAGGGCAGGACCACAGCTTGCAAGACCTTCCTACTGAAGGCCTGCTCCTCTGCTGACAACAACAAATCCAGCCTGTAATGGCATACAAAAAGGTGGACATGCTTGCCCACGCCACTGTCCTACAAAATTTGTTACGGGGTGGCACTGGCTTTTCCTGCCCGTATGGCTGCTAGAGCTATTGTGAAATGAGCATGAATGCCCAAATGCCTAGCAGTGGAACGATATCAGAAAGTTCATAGGCTGATTTGATTGCAATTCTCAGTCATCAGGCAACGGATGCTTTAGTTGCTTTTTGCCCTTTAGCTCCCGCAAACAAAATGCAAAAAAAAAAAAAAAAAAAAAAAAAAAAAGGATTCAGAACTCCTGAAATCCTATGTTACTTCTGAAGATTGTAAAACGATTCTTCTCACGTCTAACAAATGAAAATTTCCTTCCTTCTCCCCTGAGGGGTTAGGACAAAAGGTTGGCAAAATAATGTCTTGAGAGTGATGCTAAACCAACGCTACCTTTGGGAGGAAGGCTGTATCGGTTCTCATTACAATCCTATCTGGATAGATAATTAGAAAGGGTTCTCTGACTGATAACGTCTGTAGATCCCTAATTTTACATGCGCAGGGGACAATTAATAGTAATGTCTTCAGTGTCGTCGAATCCAAGGGCTAAAAGGGAGACTTGGTCAGAGCTTGTAAGACTAGTGAAAGATCCCATTTAGGGAAAGCTTTTGCTTTAACCGGTCTTGATCGAGACAAGGCCTTGAAGAATCAGATAACTAGGGGATCTTAGGAGATCGAACGTTCCAGAAAGACCCCCAAATCTGCCACCTGGACTTTTAGCATACTGACTGCTAACTTCTTGTCAGCTTGTCTTGTTGAAGAAACTCCAGGGCTGAGGGGAAATCTTCCAAGG